CAGCCTGCAGTGCCCCAGCCTTCAGTGCCCCAGCCTTCAGTGCTCTCAGCCTGCAGTGCCCCAGCCTGCAGTGCCCCAGCCCTCAGTGCTCCCAGCCTGCAGTGCCCCAGCCCTCAGTGCTCCCAGCCTGCAGTGCCCCAGCCTGCAGTGCCCCAGCCTGCAGTGCCCCAGCCTGCAGTGTCCCAGCCTTCAGTGCTCCCAGCCTTCAGTGCTCTCAGCCTGCAGTGCCCCAGCCTGCAGTGTCCCAGCCTTCAGTGCTCCCAGCCTGCAGTGCCCCAGCCATCAGTGCTCCCAGCCTGCAGTGCCCCAGCCCTCAGTGCTCCCAGCCTGCAGTGCCCCAGCCCTCAGTGCTCCCAGCCTGCAGTGCCCCAGCCTTCAGTGCTCTCAGCCTGCAGTGCCCCAGCCTTCAGTGCTCCCAGCCTGCAGTGCCCCAGCCTGCAGTGCCCCAGCCTTCAGTGCTCCCATCCTGCAGTGCCCCAGCCTGCAGTGCCCCAGCCTGCAGTGCCCCAGCCTTCAGTGCTCTCAGCCTGCAGTGCCCCAGCCTTCAGTGCTCTCAGCCTGCAGTGCCCGAGCCTGCAGTGCCCCAGCCTTCAGTGCTCCCAGCCTGCAGTGCCCCAGCCTTCAGTGCTCCCTGCCTGCAGTGCCCCAGCCTGCAGTGCCCCAGCCTTCAGTGCTCCCAGCCTGCAGTGCCCCAGCCTTCAGTGCTCCCAGCCTGCAGTGCCCCAGCCTTCAGTGCTCCCAGCCTGCAGTGCCCCAGCCTTCAGTGCCCCAGCCTTCAGTGCTCTCAGCCTGCAGTGCCCGAGCCTGCAGTGCCCCAGCCTTCAGTGCTCCAGCCTGCAGTGCCCCAGCCTTCAGTGCTCCCAGCCTTCAGTGCCCCAGCCTGCAGTGCCCCAGCCTTCAGTGCTCTCAGCCTGCAGTGCCCCAGCCTTCAGTGCTCCCAGCCTGCAGTTCCCCAGCCTGCAGTGCCCCAGCCTTCAGTGCTCCCATCCTGCAGTGCCCCAGCCTGCAGTGCCCCAGCCTGCAGTGCCCCAGCCTTCAGTGCTCTCAGCCTGCAGTGCCCCAGCCTTCAGTGCTCTCAGCCTGCAGTGCCCGAGCCTGCAGTGCCCCAGCCTTCAGTGCTCCCAGCCTGCAGTGCCCCAGCCTTCAGTGCTCTCAGTCTGCAGTGCCCCAGCCTGCAGTGCCCCAGCCTGCAGTTCTCCCAGCCTTCAGTGCCCCAGCCTGCAGTGCCCCAGCCTTCAGTGCTCCCAGCCTGCAGTGCCCCAGCCTTCAGTGCTCCCAGCCTGCAGTGCCCCAGCCTTCAGTGCTCACAGCCTGCAGTGCCCCAGCCTTCAGTGCCCCAGCCTTCAGTGCTCTCAGCCTGCAGTGCCCGAGCCTGCAGTGCCCCAGCCTTCAGTGCTCCAGCCTGCAGTGCCCCAGCCTTCAGTGCTCCCAGCCTTCAGTGCCCCAGCCTGCAGTGCCCCAGCCTTCAGTGCTCTCAGCCTGCAGTGCCCCAGCCTTCAGTGCTCTCAGCCTGCAGTGCCCCAGCCTGCAGTGCCCCAGCCTTCAGTGCTCCCATCCTGCAGTGCCCCAGCCTGCAGTGCCCCAGCCTGCAGTGCCCCAGCCTTCAGTGCTCTCAGCCTGCAGTGCCCCAGCCTTCAGTGCTCTCAGCCTGCAGTGCCCGAGCCTGCAGTGCCCCAGCCTTCAGTGCTCCCAGCCTGCAGTGCCCCAGCCTTCAGTGCTCTCAGTCTGCAGTGCCCCAGCCTGCAGTGCCCCAGCCTGCAGTGCTCCCAGCCTTCAGTGCCCCAGCCTTCAGTGCTCTCAGCCTGCAGTGCCCGAGCCTGCAGTGCCCCAGCCTTCAGTGCTCCCAGCCTGCAGTGCCCCAGCCTTCAGTGCTCTCAGTCTGCAGTGCCCCAGCCTTCAGTGCTCCCAGCCTGCAGTGCCCCAGCCTTCAGTGCTCCCAGCCTGCAGTGCCCCAGCCTTCAGTGCTCCCAGCCTGCAGTGCCCCAGCCTGCAGTGCCCCAGCCTGCAGTGCTCCCAGCCTGCAGTGCCCCAGCCTGCAGTGCCCCAGCCTTCAGTGCCCCAGCCTTCAGTGCTCTCAGCCTGCAGTGCCCCAGCCTGCAGTGCCCCAGCCCTCAGTGCTCCCAGCCTGCAGTGCCCCAGCCCTCAGTGCTCCCAGCCTGCAGTGCCCCAGCCTGCAGTGCCCCAGCCTGCAGTGTCCCAGCCTTCAGTGCTCCCAGCCTTCAGTGCTCTCAGCCTGCAGTGCCCCAGCCTGCAGTGTCCCAGCCTTCAGTGCTCCCAGCCTGCAGTGCCCCAGCCCTCAGTGCTCCCAGCCTGCAGTGCCCCAGCCCTCAGTGCTCCCAGCCTGCAGTGCCCCAGCCTGCAGTGTCCCAGCCTTCAGTGCTCTCAGCCTGCAGTGCCCCAGCCTTCAGTGCTCTCAGCCTGCAGTGCCCCAGCCTTCAGTGCCCCAGCCTGAAGTGCTCCCAGCCTCCAGTGCCCCAGCTCAAGTGCCCCCAGCCTGCAGTGCCCCAATCTGCAATGCCTCAGCCTACAGAACCCACATACTTCCAGAGAGGGACTCACACATCTGGAAGGATATACTCCCTAACTCCTCACTCCCTCCCCCTCTAGATCTGTGCAGAGACTAGCAGCCAGCCCAGCTTGTCGAAGGGCCTCATTTATTTGAATTCACTTCGTTTTATGGAACTAATTTTAAAAGTGGGGAGAGGTGATATCTGTGCTTTGCCATTAGAGCCTGCCTCCAGCTCAGAAAAGTGGGTGAAGGCTGTTCACAAACAACCTCACAAACTCTGGAGGGAATAGCTGCTCCGGCCGGGCGATTAAATAGAGGCAGGGAAGGGCACAGCACAGGACCCTGAGAAGAGCCTGAGGGGACAGGCAGCCTGGAGCCCTTTCCCCACACTTACCTGTCTCCACCCTCAGACCCCTCTGAGCGGGGCCACCCCACACAGGCGCTCCCTTCAGGCTGCTGACTTCCTGATGTCCTCCGGCCTCACTCCTATGGGAAGTCAAATTCCACTGCAGGGGGTGGTATCTGCAGGATTCCTGCTGGTGCCATTCTGAGCCGCTGGCTTTGCAGGAGTATTCTGTTCTTACACGTGAAAACCGTCCTTTGCTACAACAGAGGGCTTGCAACACCCGCTGCTCAAAAGCTGCACTTATTTCTGCTTTGTGTTTTTTCCCTTCTACCCTCTTACCATAGCCAGCTTTCCTCTATTTTAATTTTTTTGTTGTTTTTTAAAGCACCATTAAGTCAGAGATGAAAGAGAGACTGTGCTGGGAGAGGCAGTGCTGCTAGGGCAAGATGAACTGTTAGCAGATTCTCTCCTTAATTATTGTGGTGAAATTCACATATCACAAAATTAATCAGTTTGAGTGAACAATTCAATGGTATTAAATTTAATTAAACACAGTGGTCATAGTGTTAGGCAACCATCACCCCATCTAATTCAGAAACTTCTAGCATCCCAAAAGGAAACCCCACACCCATTCACAGTCACTCCCCATCCTCCCCGCTCCTAGACAACCACTAATCTACTTCCTGTCTCTGGATTTGCCTGTTCTAGGCATTTCATGTCAATGGAATCATACAATATGTGGCCTTTCGTGTCTGGCTTCTTTCATTTACATACTGTTTTCAAATGTAATCAATGCCATAGTGTATATCTGGACTGCATCCTTTTTTGTTGTTGTTAATCCTCACCCGAGGACATTTTTCCATTGATTTTTTTAGGGAGAATGGAAGAGAGAGGGAAAAACAGAGAGAAACATCTATGTGAGAGAAACACATCGATTGGTTGCCTCCTGCATGAACCCCAACCAGGGCCCTGGCCGGGGAGGAGCCTGCAACCAAGGTACGTGCCCTTGACCCAAATCTCCGCAGGCCAATGCTCTATCCACTGAGACAAACCGACTAGGGCTGGACCGCATTCCTTTTAATAGCTGAGTTATAGCCCACGTATGCATATGCTGAATCTTATCCATTGGTAGACATTTGGGATGTTTCTGCCTTTTGGCTGTTGTAAACAAAGCGGCTATGAAGATTGATGTACAAGAAGTTGTTTGAACTCTTGTTTTCAGTTATTTTGGATATATGCCTAGGAGTGGAATTGCTGGGTTTCGTGGTAACTTTATGTTTAACTTTTAGAGGAACTACTGATTCTTGTAGATGTGACTGAATGCCTGGCATGTGTGCTAGCCTGCTGTAGTCTGATTGTTTGTGTCCTCCCCAAACCCATATGTTGAAATCTTAACCCCCAAGATGATGCTATTAGGAGGTAGGGCCTTTGGGAGGTGATTAGGTCATGAGGATGTTGTCCTTGTGAATGGGATTAGTGCCCTTATAAAAGAGTACCCACAGAGCTCCCTTGCTCCTTTGTCTGCCATGTGAGGACACAACCATTTATGAACCAGGAAGTGGGCCCTCACCAGACACCCAGTCTGCTGCCACCTTGATCTTGGGCTTCCCAGACTCCAGAACTGTGAGAAATAAGTGTCTGTGGTTTACAGCCACCCAGTCTATGGCATTTTTGTTATAGCAGCTCCAACAGACTAAGACTAGGCTGTACCAGGTCCCAGCTTCACCTTACCACCCTCACAGCCCCACATTCTGCCTCTCTTGGCTCATTCTGCTTGTGTCACGGGCGGCTTCTTTTCCTCTTCAGCCTGCCAGCATGTATAGGACAAGACAAAGCCCAGAACCAGATAGCACGCACAGCCACCTTAAAGGGTGATGATGGAGCCATTACTTGTATACCACAGATCATTTGGAATTCTTTGCAAAGACATGACAGATGAATTGTAGCTCAAATTTTATGGGAAAACTGGCTTTTTTAATAACCTTGCAAATTAACACCATATCTATAACCAAAGAACTTACATGCATATATGCATAACCCATGGACACAGACGATAGTGCTGTGAAGGCCTGGGGGAATGAAGGAGGATTCACCGGCCGGGGGTGGGGGACATCTGTAATACTTTCAATATAAAGATAAATTTTTAAAAAACACCATGTCCAAATGGTAATTCCCAATGCCCTTTTGATTTGTCATCTATAACGACAACAGGCTGGGCAGAAACTCCTTTTTAGCTTTCTTCTCCTCACTAGGGAGATGCTGGAACTGCAGTCTCATATGTGGCTGGAAGGGCTAGCAAATTCCAGCACGAGGGCCTCCGGCTCTTGTACATAGACCAGACCACTTGCTCCGGCTCAGCGGTTCAGAGGGAATAGCCAGCGTGTGCCCGCCATATCCAGTTCATGAAATAAGCGGAGTCATGAGAGCGAAGCAGCTGCCATCTTTATTTCTGTCTCCCTTGTTCCTTACACCTGCTGGGGGGGTGCTCTTCCCTGGGCACAGGATGAAAATGCATGCCCGTGAGGTTCCTGGTCACCCAGAGGAAACAGAAAATCCCTCCATCACTTTAAGTCACAAAACACAGTTTCATTTGGAAATGATGTTGTCTACTCCAAAATATTTATGAACAAATCATTTTCATTCAAAGGTCTTAGAAGCTTCAAAATGCGGCATTTCTATGAAATCCCACCTTTCATTTAATTAGATCGCGGTTTGCTTCTGAAAACCTCTCTTGGTTCATGACAATGGCTGGCCCTCAGGAAGCAAAAACCTCACCTGCCCATCTTGCTCATCTTTAGTGATGAACAGCACTGGGCCTTGCCCTGAGGGGTGGGTTTTCTTTTGAAGGAAATTGGGAGCATGCCCAGGCTGAGCCAGGCTGTGGGTGCGGGGAAGGCAGGGTTTGGGGGTCCGCTGCCTTGGGTGTGAGTCTCGGCGCCATCTCCAACTGAGTGCGTGACCTCAGAAAGAGCACCTCTTTGGGCTCTGTCACCTTATCTGTTAGAACATCCCCACCTCCTAAGACTTGGGAGGAGAACAGGAGGCAACATGTGTGGAAATACCCAGACTCGGCAGACGCTTGGTTTGTGTCATCTGTTAGATTGAGTGTCTACGTGCAGATGGAAGGTCAATGACAAAACTCAGCAGTGCTTTGCTAGGGAAGTGTCTCTCCCTCAGACTGGCCCGTGCCAATGGGAGCAACCAGCTGCTGTTTAGGTGGGCTCCCCAGCTGGGCTCACATGTGCAGCCGTGAGCCTGGGCTGCGGCTCTTTGAAGTGCTAACATGGACATGTTCCCATGAGCTCACTGCAGCTCAGCTCTAGAGCAGGGCCTTGAAGAGGCTGGCCAGTGCCGCGTGGTGGCTCCCCATCCCTACCCCCCAGGTGGGCATCGCATCTTTTGGAAAGGGCAGGATTGGCGGGGGGTAGGAGGGTGTTCAGGCACAGGCCCTGGGTAAGTGGCTTTGCCACCCTGATCCTTAGTTTCTCTGTAACACAGGCGAGAGGCCATGTCAGAGAGTCACCATGAGGCTTCTCAGCGATACAGGCATACCAAGCCCTCTGCCGGGCACATAGTAGGAGCTTAATAACTGAGGTGAGCCTGCTTAGAATTGGGCAAATTGAAAGGCATCACCACCCACTCGGGAACAGGCGGAAGGCATTGCAGTTAAAGAGGGAGGCAGGGAAGGGACCAGGCTGGCTGAGCCTGCAGCCTGAGAGCCTCAAACCCTTCCGCAGAGCCTGGGATGGAGGACAGGGGACACGTCCATGTGCTGCTCCTCTAAGATGAAAGGGAAAAATCTCCCTGAAGGTGCACGGATGTTTCCAAGCTCTGGGAGGAAGGCTGTCCTGTGGCTACCCTCATGGCCTCCGCCGAGGCTTAGGGATTCCCATGTCACTGAGGCAGGAAGAAGCAGATGGGTCTGCCCTCCCCATGCCGGATTCCCTAGTCTGGACCCCACACATTATTCCACTAGGATGAACGCCCTCTGAGACCCCGGGGGCAGCCACCTCCTCAGAGGACCCGCCCACACCCCAGGCTTCCTCTAAAGATGGACGTCCTCCTGGCACTGAGCTGGGGACACAGACCCTGATGGTTACAACGCAGGGTGAGAAGCATCCAGATGAAATGACGCAGAGGGCACTGTGGCAGCCCCAAGGCTGGATGCCGCAGATCCAGGAGACGGGGATGTAGTTCATAAAGGACTTGATCATTGGGGTGATCTTGCCAGGTCGAGAAAAGGATGTGGCTGGGCAGGGAAGCAGCTGGATAAGAAAAGGGGTCTGTGTGTGCAGGGTGGGGGCCGGGAGAAAGGGAGAGAGTGGGAGGAAAGGAGGCTGGATTTGTGCAAAGGGCTTTAAAGGCCACGATAAAGGACTCGAGCTTGATCCTGTAAGCTTGGTCACAAAGGGGCGATCACAGCCCAAATCCAGACTTGAAGGTGTTGAGCTCCTGATATGTTTTTGCCTTCATTATGTGTTTAAAATGTGAGTTAACGGCCCCGCCAGTGTGGCTCAGTGAATTAAGTGTTATTTCGTCCCAAGCACCAAGGGATCACTGGTTCGATTCCCAGTCAGGGCACATACCTGGGTTGCAGGCTAGGTCCCCAGTAGGGGCCATACAGGAGGCAGCCAATCAGTGATTCTCTCTCATCGTTGATGTTTCTATATCTTTCTGCCTCTCCCTTCCTCTCATTCAAAATCAATAAAAACATTTAAAAAATAAAATGTAAGTTAACCATGAAAAATGTGGGACATTTCACATAAAAATCCTAATTTCTGGCTTCTCTTGAAAAAAATAATGGAGGGTCTGGAAACAGTCCATTGTAACTACATAGTCACTGCCCTCTTTAGATAAAGAATGCCACCCGTGTGCCACAGCTTCCCTGAAACTGAGTGTCAGTCACCACTTACGCTGGGGCTTGCACTGTTTTCTCCTCGTAAAGAAAGGCTTCTTAGAGCCACGTCTCCGTGAATGGGTCTGTGTCCTTTCCCTGCATAACCCATGTATGCCTGCAGCAGGAGAGCTGGAAACTCGGCCAGGGGGTCGTTGGAGGAGCTTGTCAGGATTCATAGTTGCAGACAACAGAATCCAATCCAGCTGGCTTAAGAAGAAGAAAGAAAAAGAAAAGTTTAGTAAGGGCCTCCAAGTCCCTCGGAGAACAGAGCTTCAGGAGAGGCTCCCAGAGCCACCGCTCCGAGCCACCCGCCCAGGGAGAGGGCCCTCCCGCCAAACCAGGAAGCTTCCTGGGCTGCGGGCTCAGAATCCCGCGGTCTCTACCTGAAGAATGCGCCCTGTCCCGTCCTCAGCTCTGAAGCACAGGTGACAGGTGGGATGTAAGTCTATGCCCAGCCCCAAGAGAGCAGCAAAGTTTGTCATCAGTGTGGCAAGGCTGGGTGTACGCTATGGGGAAGCATCCAGAAGTGAAGAGGATGGTCAGGAGGTTTGGGGCAGCAACAAATGGCACATCAACCACTCTGAGCTCTGGCCACCCGGCAGAGACACAGCCACACCTTCCGCCTGACGTCCGTGGGCTTGGACCCGGAACTTCACGCCACCAGGAGGCTGCCGAGTTTCCCAACACAAAGGCCGTGAAGAGAAGATGCCCCCGGTCCCCACCCCGACTCCACAGAGCCCGGGCTGGTCCCTGGCTCGCCTCTGTGCCCACCCTCTGGCCCATTCACATGCCTTCCTCCCAGCCTGGCCCTACTGGCTGGCCGCCCGGCTGCCAGTCTGGGCAGCTGTGTCATTCTTTTGGAACTCTTTGTTCTCCTGGTGGAATTTAGAAGAAGCCTCTCCCAGCTTGGAGATTGGGCTCAACTATTTCCCAGCAGCTGATAACAGCTGGGATTAAAAGATGAAAAACAGTGCAGATGTCCCAGCTCTGGAGAATCGGAGAGCAGGCGTCCAAACTGCCGTGCCCTGCAGCATTTGTGCCTGCCCCACCCTCCCGCCAGTGGCTGTCTCAGTCCTCAGAGCCACACACCCCTGAGGATCACGGATTCCTGAGGGCCATGTACTGAGCGTTAGGGGCACGTGGCCAGGAATGCCCTTGAGAACAGGGGCTTAAGCTGGATTGTGAGCCCCGAGTCTCAGCCCTTGGTAGGCAGAGCGGCCACTTTCATTTTTATGGCAATGCTACCAAGTGCCAGGTCTGTATGCAGTGCTTGATGCGCCAGGTTTTGTATAAGCCTCACAAAAACTCGGGAAGGGCCTGGTCCATGTTTCTCAGTGGTTACTGCATCAACCCACCCACCAGAGGGTCTCAGGTTTGATTCCCAGTCAAGGGCACATACCTGGGTTGCAGGTTCGAACCCCAGCCTTGGACAGGGTGCATGTGGGAGGCAACCAACCGATGTGTCTCTCTCACATCAATGTTTCTCCCTCTCTTCTCCCCTCCCTTCTTCCCTCCCTTCCACTCTGAAAATCAATGGAAAAAATATCCTCAGGTGAGGATTAACAAAAAGCAAACAAAAACTGGAGAAGGTAGGTGCCACCTGATCCTGGGCTTCCAGGCCAGGAACCCGAGCCTCAGGGAGATGAGGTGGCCTGCCCAGGGTCACCCCCCTCACCCTGACCCGGGAGTGGCAGAGCTGGGAGCCAGCCCAGGTCTGTTTGGCTTCAAAGCCTCTGCTGGCGACTCCTGCACTTTGTGACCTGATTTCCAGGGTCTGCTACCGTCTCTGCAAGATAAACCCAGAAGCAGCATTTCTGCCTTCCAGGTTCCTTCGACCGGGAGGCCTTCCTGAGAGGCAATGGCCACACAGACGCTCCCCAGCTGCCCAGGCAGTACCCAGTGAGGGGAGCGGCAAGGAAGGCAATGTGACAGCTGGGCCAGTGCCCAGGCCAGACAGGCCTCTGCTAGCTTGTGATTTGGGGCAAGTCACTTCTGTACGGTTTTCGTTCTCTCATGTCAGCTGTTCAGCAAATATTCCTGAGCTCACTGGATGCCAGGCACTAGGCAATGAGCTGGACAAGATCTGTCCTGTCGGGGAGCTGACATTCTAGCAGGAGGAGGGCGTGGGATGGGCAGGCACCACCTGATGTGATGAAATCCTGGGGAGTCATTTAGCGAGGGCCCCACTGAGGAGGTGCCCCCTGAGCTGAGACCTGAATGATGGGAAGGGGGAACATGCTGCCAGGTGGCTCTGAGGACTGAGGATGGAAGAAACCGAAAGCCAGAGCCCACAGGAACACAGTGCACGGAGAGGCCGGGGGTCGGTACTTCATGAATGGGGAGAGGCGGCCTTTGAAAATATGAGGGAGGCCCGAGTCGCTAGGCCCTTCCCCGAAGGCCCCACCTGGGAGGGCAGCAGTACAGGGTCCCGGGGGCCCCTGAGAAGCCTGCAGGGACCACCTCTCCCCTCAAACACACTCGTGGGACCAGCCAGCCAGGGGAAGCGGCACTGGCCTTCAATTCCTGGAACTTTCTACTGATGGCTCCACGTCATGTGGGCAGAGGGCCTCCGGGGCAGCTGTTGATCACCTTTCATTTGAACCTTTCGTCCTCAGTCCAAATGTGGGTGGACTGAAATTCCCCATGGAGGACTACCAGGGGCCAGGCCTGACACAGGGTCCATGTGGCCTCATGGGTGTGGGGCCTTTTTAGACTTTTGTTGGCTCCTGTTCTGGCCAAGAAATTGCAGGTCTCTCCTGGGGAGGGGGTGGGGGGAGAGGCATGAGTGCGCTGTGGGGTCTGTGGTTTCTCTCTCTTTGCTGGCAGGGGAAGCCTGGCCTTGCTTGGAAAGCCCAGGGCTGGCAGGAGGGGCTTGGGGCCCAACCCACTCCATCTGGTGGGACACAGTTGGAATTGAGGCTTCGCCCAGTTGTCTTAGGAACAGAAGCTGACTCTGGTGGATTCTAAAGGCAGATACAGCAGATTTCCCACTTGGCTGGGTCATCTGCAGGAGAAATGAGATACGGTAGTTTTCACCTGGGAATTGTTTCACAAAATTTAAAAATCACTTTGGCAGTGAACTTTCAGGCTAGTTTGAGGGGGCTGGGAGCAGAAAGTCCAGCCGACACTTGAATCCTGACATTGGCCGCCTGATCCTAGACTCTCAAGGTTAGAGCCGCCCTTCGGTTTTCATTGTCCCCAAGCCATCTTCAGCCCCGCCATTCACCTCACAAGTCCATCCTGCCCTCTCCACCTCCGTCCCTTGCCTGGTTGGTGAGGCCCCATCATCTCACGCCTGCATTACTGCAAGAGCTGTCTGCTTGCCCCCAACTCCCAGGTCTCGAGTGGCCCCCTGGGACCACGGGCATTCACATCAATACACATTGCCAGGGTCAGCCCAGCCCCAGGAATCGGAATCTCTGGGGTGGCCGGGAAATTTGCACACAACACAAACACCCGAATGGTTCTCCTGTTTGAGAACTCCTGGCCTGAAGGGTACAAATCAAACCCAGTAGGATCGGGCTCTGCAGACATTTAGGTCAGCGCTTCTCACCATGCAGGTCTGGGCCAGCAACATCCCCATCAGCTGGAGCTGTTAGAACTACAGATTCTGGGGTCCCACCTGCAACTCGCTGAATCAGAAACGCCGGAGGTGAGGCCCAGCCCTGCTCACAGGGCCCTTAAGGGGATTGTGATGGGGAGCAAGGCTGAGCCCTGCCGCCTCTCACAGAGAGCCTTTGCCCTTGCTGTCCCTCCTGCCAGCAGCACTGTCCTCCCGCTGCCCAGGCAGCTCCGGGCGTCTCTCGGGCCTCATCTCAAGCATAAGTTTCCCAGGGAACCTGAGCCCAGCGGACAGGTTGTGCTCACCTGTACTTTTCCTTCACCTCACTCGCCAGTTTGTAATCTGGCTCATCATCGGTGAGGCAGGGTCTGCCTCCCCCTAGCCTATAATGGTGGTGGGGCTGGGCCTGTCTCACTCCCATGTATCCCCAGGCCCTGACACACACCTGACAAATAGCAGGGCTTCTGTCGGTAATTATCACCTTCCTCCCTTCCCAGCCAGTGTGGCTGGCTCAGTGGTTGGGCATCAACCTATGAACCAGGAGGTCATAGTTTGATTCCGGGTCAGGGCACATGCCGGGGTTGCGGGCTCCATCCCCAGTAGGAGGCGTCCAGGAGGCAGCTGATCTATGATTCTCTCTCATCGTTGATGTTTCTATTTCTCTCTCCCTCTCCCTCCCTGATCTAAATCAACTTAAAAAAATAAATTTTAAAAATGATCACCTTCCTCTAAATAACATGAATATGCTGCAACTTTGATTTTTTCCGTTTTAGGCATTCTCTATTAGAAGACCAAGCCTTCCTTTTTTCTCAGGTCTTTGCAGGAAGCCTGCTATTTTCTCTCTGGTAGTTTGGGATCTTCTCCTTAAACCTGTGTTGTGAGACTTTGAGGCGAAGTGCCTTTACCAAGGTCTGTTTTCTTTCACTGAGCTGGACCCTTAGGAAGAAATCTCAATATATTCAAATTCCTTGAATTATGTAATGATTCCCCCCCAACTCCCCAATTTCTCTGTTTTTTCTCTCTCTAGGTTTCCTTAGCTGGGGGGGGGGGGGGGGGGTGACCATCCCTGCACTGCTCCTGATGTCCTGACCTAGCTCCACCTCTTTTTCCAATTTTCTGCATCTGTTCATTCTGACTTAGAGACTTGGCCCACCTTTCTCTCGCAACTCTGTTTCCAATGAAATTTTAATCGCTGCTATCATGTTTTTAATTTGCAAGAAATTTTGTGCAAATGTTCTCTGAATATTCCTTTTTAATAGCATCCTGATCTAAATTCATGGATATAATATCCGCCGTTCTCTCTGAACATTTCATTGTGGGGTGTGGGGGGATTTTAATTTTCTGTTTCTGAAAGCCGTTGTCCCCTGAGTTACTTCTCGCCACCTGCTTTGCCCTCTGTCTTTCATGCGAGAGGGTTTCTCAAACGTCTGGTGCCTTTGGCTCACTTTCCAGAGTGGAAACTAGAAAGCTGACTGGCAGCTCGGCGGGCACAGGCGGGGCTAGTCAGTCGTGGCTTCCCAGGGCGTGAGCTGGCTGGGTCTTTCCTCCTGTGCTCATCAGATTCCCGGGGAAGAGCCTCCCCGCCTCCTGCCTGGAAGCAAAGACCCAGCGCCGGTCTTGGGAGCCACGCTGAGGAAGGAATGCTCCGGGGCCTCCACATGCGTGTGTCGACTTCCTCTTGATGACACGCCTCGCTCAACTGTGCGGCCGGCGTCCTGCAAGCGAGAGACTCTACTCCCCTCTCTCCGGAAAATGAGCCCCCAGCGCAAGAAAGGGCAGCTGTCCAGATCAGAGGCAAATACCATCTCTGTCACAACTGCTCAACTCTGTCGTTGTAGCGCAAACGCAGCCATAGACAGTCCATGAGTAAAACTTTATTTACAAAAATCAGTGGTGGGACGGGGCCGGTGTAGCTCAATTGATTGGGCGTCATCCCGTGCACCAAAGGGTTGCCTGTTCGAGTCCCGGTCAGAGCACATGCCCAGGTTTCGGGCTTGATTCCCAGAGGCAGTTGATCAATGTTTTGCTCTCACATCAATGTCTGTCTCTCTCTCTCTCTCTCTCTTCCTCTTCCTCTTCTTGCTCTCTCTTGCTCCCTCTCGTTCCCTCTCCCTCTCCCTCGCCTCCCTCTATTTTTAAAAATCAATTTTTTAAAAAGTCAGTGGTGGACCGGATTTGACCAAAGGGCCATAGTTTGAGGCCCCTGGCCTAGATCCTAGCTCATCAGGTCTGCAGCTTCCTGAGCTTTGGGTGTTCTCAGCGCAGGTAGGTTGCTCTTGAGCTTTTCCATTCCCAGCTTAAAATCTTAGCTGTCCCGTTTCCGCACACACAGTAACCCCTCATTTGTCTACTTCCCCCCTTCCTAAACTTTGTTGCTGATGCTTCCTCCCCTGACCGCTCTGCCCTCAGAGCTCAGGCTTCTGGAGTAATAGAGATAAATGAACACATTTATCTCCCATCCTTAACTCCCAGGCTCTTTTTAACAGGTCCCTCAGTTACAGAGATAAGCATCTAGAACTAGCGCTGATTAGGGCTGGTTACATTTGTGTGTCTT